TGGCTGCAAAATTGCGCCTGCCTGTGTGCATACCTGCCCAGAAATCCAGGAGGAGAAGCTTACATTACAGTTCAAGGAATTGATCATATCTAGTTCCTGCCCTGTGGAGCTTACATTACAATTAAAGGACACAAACTCTATTGCAAAACAAGAAAAAGGAAGTTTACTTCTCAAGTACTTGTATCCTTTCTACTAGAATAGCCAGAAAATACACAATGTGTTATTGATATTAATATATATTTGGTAATTGTCTGTCTAACTGCTATTTCTATAGCTGTCACTGAAATGCTTAGTGAATGCACTAGACAGTCTCTTCACAAGCACTAAAAAGGAAAAATCACCTTTATCTTACATTACTGTGTTAATGTCTAAGGAATAAAATAATGGGGTTTACTTTTTTTAATTAATTAATTTATTTTCTGAAACATTTTTTAAAAATTAATTAATTTATATTCATTCACTGAGTATCATCACAGCATACAAAATGTGATTTTCCATCCAGAATATACTGCATAGTGGCTTAATCATACATGTTATCATCAATAATTTTCCATTTCTAGTTTCATATATATATATGTATATGTATATTTTGCTCCTATTTCTCACCCTCTGCCATTTCTCACCATCCTCCCACACTATCTCAGGTGTCTACAGTTGTTTTCCATTCCTTTTCCCCCCACATTTTATTGATCACAAAATTTCTTAAGTAATCTAACTACTTTCAATAGCAAGTTCAGCTGGTATATATAGATCTGTGAATACATGTCTGACTTAAGGCCTGAAACTCTGAGTAGAATGAATATGCTATAAGGTAGCACCTAGCTGATGCTACATAGCTTATTATGGTACTTACATTTTTAATATATTTTTTTTAGGGAACCAGCAGTTAGCGTAATGGCTATGTCGCTGGACTCCCACGTAGTCGACCGCGGTTCGTGTCCCGGACCCGGTGGCTTAAAACTCACGCCGGGCGCGTGTGCGTGCGTGCCCAAGATCCCGAGAGGAGAATGGAGGAGAAGGGATTGCGGCGTGACCATCCCCCCTGGGGGGTGATTTCTCGCTTTCTGTCTCTATGTCTCTCTCTGTCTGTCTGGCGAGCGCACGCGCCCTACAGTGAAAAAAAAAAAAAAGAAAAAAAAAAAAAAAAAAAAATATATATTTTTTTTAATTTCAAGAAAAGTTTTAGGTTTAATAAATCAAAGAAATGCTAAGGAACTTTGCTTAAAACTTAAAGCCAGGAAACAGGTTGGAATTCTGTTCAAATAGTAGGTACATGAACCTATTGACAGCTTAAGACAGGACAAAAATCCTTAAAACTGGAAAACAAAGCCTAGAAGAAAATCAGCAATGTTTTAGTCAAAAGTCATAAACTGCTATTTCACCAGTTTAGTCTCCTCTGTTGTGGTTCGATCTTCCCGATTAAATTCTGGGATATAACATTCACCTTCAGATTTGTCCCTATGATTAAGTTGGCCCTTTTCTTAGTTTTTAAATGTTTATTTCTGTGTATATTTAATTTTCCTGGTATAACACTTCCTTGAGAACTTCTTGGAGATTTGGTCTAGTGTTGGTAAATTCTTTCAGATTTTATTTATCTGAGAATGTTCTTGCCTTTTCTTCCCATATGCTGGGTATAGTATTCTTGGTTGACATTGCTTTTTCCTTAACATTTTGAATATATTTTCCCATTCTTTGCTTGCTCGCTTTGTTTCCGATGAGAAGTCTGCTGTTAATCTAATGGGATAAGCTTTGTAGGTAGCTTGACGTTTCTCTCTTGGCAATCTTAGTATCTCGTCTTTGTCTGTGGATTTGGTCAATCTAGCTATACTGTGTCTTGGAGATTTTCTTAGGTTGATTCTGTGTGGGGTCCTTTGTATTTCTTGGGACTGAATCTTTGAATGCCTCTCTAGGTTTGGAAAATTTTCTTGCAGGATTTCATGGAATAGAATATCAATGCCCTTATGAATCTCTTCGCCTTCTGGGATACCAATTATCCGAATGTTTGGACGTTTGATGGTATCTAGTATTTCTCATATATTATGCTCATTTTGGGGGGCAATTTTCTCAGACTTTGTGGTGGATTTTTCTAGGCCAGTAATTTTATCTTCTACATCTGAGATTAGTTTTTCAGTATGGTCTAGTCTACTTTTAATACTTTCAAGGGAAATTTTTATTTCCTGTATTGTAGCCTTCATCTCTAACAGTTCCACTTGATTCTTTTGTAAAGTGTGTAATTCCTCTTTTAGATCTTGTAAGAGTTTCCTCACCTCCTAGAACTCATTGGCTCCTTTCTCCTGCCTCTTCTGCAGTTCATTGTACCTCTTTCTCTTTTATCTCTGTTAGCTTTGTCACTATGAATATTTCTAAATTATTTATCAGATATTTCCATGAGATTCATTGTACTGTCTGAGAATGAAGAGGAGTTATTCTTGGATGAGAGGTATTTTGTTGCTTTCTCTTATTTCTTTCTTGGGTCACAAGAAATTTCTAGTCATCTGATAGATGGTGCGATTTTTCCAGATTCTTGAAGTTCAATCTAAACGTTCAGAAGTGTGCAGAAGGACGTTATCTGCAATCTCTCTTCTGTTCTGTTTTTACTCTTTGTGCATCAGATTCAGTGGTAATAGACCAATATTCTGACCCTAATCATATTCAGATGTTTGGATCCTGTTCACAAGGACCTGTCTAAACACTTAGGGCATGGAGGCCACTAGAAATGATTCTGGAGGGGGATGTCTCTGCAGAAAATCTTCATTTTTGGTCAAGGAAAGCAAGATTTCACAACTCAAGTTCAGTATCTATTTCAGGATCGGGGTTTACTTTTTTTACATGGAATATTTGAAGTTTATTTTTCTCTCGGATAATTTTTCCATCTAATGCTCAACTAGTTCTTCCTTTTCTTACCATTCAAGTGTTCAAATTTAAGGATGGCTCCTTCTCATAAGTTGTCATGCTTCACAGTTCAAGTGTATTGCGGTAGATCAGTAACGTTATAGTGACACTGTAAGTGTAATTTACTGTGAAGCAAAAAATGAAAAAGGATTCAAGTTAGGTAGCTGTATTAAACTATATACAATATTTTTTAAAAATTACTGGGGGGCTGGCTCTGTAATGTATTGATTAAAGAAATGGATTGCACATGGCCTGTTGTAGTTCAAATCTCAGACCCACCAGCTAGAAAAAAACAATGCTAAGCACAGACAAAATCCTGACGGGATGGAAAAAATAGAAGGGATTGTAGCATGATCATAACTTATTGGGGGTTGCTTTTCCCCTCTACCTCCCTCTCTCTGTTTCTCTCTGGTGAGTGCACATGCCCTCTAACAGTTAAAAAAATTAAAAAGTTAAAAAAGATTACTGGGCTTATTACTTAATGAACACAGTCCGTTGCTTCAGGGAATCTGTTTTAGTTACTTACCTACAGTTACAACATCACATGTAAATAATCTGGTGCTCTACTAAGTAACCTCATTTCTTCCTCCTCTTTTTGTTCACACTGACCTTATTTCTTGAACACATTGGGCACATTCCTGTCTTGGCTTTATGTTTGTGTTTCTCTATCTGGAATACTTTTATTTAATTCTTCTCTTGGCTCAGATTTTTGCTGAAATATCATTTCAGAGAGATCTTATCTCTTCTTGCTGTTCTCTTTTTAACTTTCTTGACACTTCCTGACTCATTTTTGACCAGGTCCTTTAATTGTAATGTAAGCTCTACAGGACAGGAACTAGTTATGATCAGTTCCTTGAACTGCAATATAACCTCCTCAAGAAAGGGTAGGAACTGTATTTTATTTAATGTACTATCTTTAGTGACTGGAACATTGTAGATGTTCACATTATTGAATGAATGTTATGGAGTATGTGGATGTGGTTTTTCTAAATTTAGTATTGGGATTTATGGGGGGGGCGAGGAGTAAATAGCTGTTAGTGAGGAAAACCATCTCTGGAGAATACCTGCACTTGGATAGGATGAGGTAGTGTTGAGAAGCTATCTCTATAAAACTGAATTTGACTGTTCTGTTTACTTTGTGATTTTTTTTTAAACAAGTATATGAAAAAAGAGATTTGTTAGAATCTCAATTAGAAATTCTCAATGTTTGACTCAAAAGTCATAGTTTCATATCCTATAGCTTTTCTGCACTGTTATTTACATGTATGCCCCATAATTTAAAATATATATACCACCTGGTATTTACTTTACTCAACTCCTCTTCCATATACTTAATCTCATTCTAGAATATCCCTGATGTATTGTAATTCTTAGTTATCTTCAGGACTCACCTGAGCTTCTATAGGACTTTTGGGATTCTGTCTACATGCTGCTTTGAGAAATATCTCATTGGATATGTTAACGGTTTCTTTAATTTTTTTCTCTTACAGACTGTTCAAGAAGAAGAAAGAGAGATTTATCGGCAGCTGCTACAGATGGTCACAGGCAAACAGTTTTCTGTAGCCAAACCCACCACACATTTTCCTTTACACCTGTGAGTTACAGAAGCATATTTCAAATGAATTTAATCTTACAGTTTGCTGTTTGATATTGAAACTGTATTTTTCTCTTGCTAGGTCTCGATGTCTTAGTTCCAGTAAGAATACTTTGAAAGACTCACTGTATAAAAATGGAAATTCTTGCACATCTCAGATCATTAGCTCTGATACTTCATCATCTGGATCTGCCAGCATTTTAACTGCCCAGGAACAGCTGTCCCATGGTGTATATTCTCTGCCATCTTATACCCCTGATGTTGCATTTGGATCCAAAGATTCTGATCCTCTCTGTCAACCTCACCATCATCACTCTCTTTCTCATCAATCAGATAACCTACCATCTTCAAATACACAATCCGAAGGTAAAAGTAGTGATGTACAACTACAGTTTTAATCATAGCTAATTAACTGTTTATTGGATCTATTACAGCCAACATTATAATGTTCATATAATTTTAACATATAGGATGCTTTAAATGCATACGATTCAGCTAACCATTCTATAAGTAAACTACTTATAGAAGCTACTTATACTGCGTTTCCCCCACGTAGTATAAGTGATTTGATATTTTATTTCAGTGATTAACTTCCTGAGCAATTTAGTCAGAGTACATTCAGCCCAGATGCTTCACTTATCTGCTTCCATTACTTCACAATAAAAAGTGTAAGAGCTTTGAAACATCAAATAAACATTGAAGTACAAGTATTTACCTTGTAATACTTCTTAAACCTGTATCATAGGTTTATGCATGTTACAATGGTAATCAGCTGATTTTAGAAAGAAAAAGTTTTCTACCTAGTTTTGAACTAACCAAAATACTCAGTTTCTTAGCATTGCAGTTAATGCATTAGGTTTCTTTGTTTCCTTTTTCTCCTTCTTCATGTATTTCGGTATGTAACTTAAAACTTGAGAACACTAGAAATCTTTGATAGATGGGGCACTAGTCTCTAAGATACTCCCCTTTTTCCTCAGGTCATTTGATTTTTTTTAAAATCTACTGGTTATTTTATAAAAATTCTCACTAGAGGGTCAGTTTTTGCTAGCATCATTATATAGCTACATATATTTATGAAAACTTACATTTTGTGAGGTGATTTACTGAGAACTGTTATTTAATGAGAAACCCAGAAAACCCTTTAATTTCAGAAACATACATTGTGTGGCAAATACTTAGATAAAACTAAATTGCACCAAATATGCTACATTGTACTGTGGAATTACTTCTTTTTAACCATTTAATTATTACTCTAAATGGGGTTCTAGTCAAAATGCTTTAGAAGTACTTGATTCCTTCCTTCGAGGAGTATTTAACATAGAAAATAAATGATAGAATGATAACATTTGTACTTTTTGACCTCCTCCTACAATGCTATTTCTCTTTCTGTATTCCCCTCTCCCTTCCTCTCTCCTTCTCCCCATTCCTTACTGTTTCCCTTCCTCTCTTTCTCTTTCACCTAATGTAATGTTGATATAGATTATGAACTAAGTGCATTTTGAGAAATCCTTATTCCCCCCCAAACAAAGAGGAAGCACAGTGAATAAGCACAGCCTAGGAATGATGTTGAAAGGCAAATATGCTTATATTTCAGAGTGATTTTCTTATTTGTGAGACAAACTTTTCACTAAAACCTGGTTCTGGTTTTGGTGAAAATGGACCTTTCTCTCTTTCTCTACCATCTTACCTTTGTCCTGACTGCATTGTTTATGGAAATAGACTATGACAAAGTATGGGAACTAAAACATGTAGACAGTATGATTGTATGGAATTTTATTAACAGTGAGATGCTCCTGTGTTTCTTCGTTTAGGATCAGACTCTGTGATTTTACTCAAAGTGAAAGATTCCCAGACTCCAACTCCCAGGTAAACTTTGGAAAAAGATTTATTCTTGGTTTTTTTTTTTTTTTTTTCAATTTTTTTTTCAGTTTATTTATTACTTTTACGAATGAGAGAGAGAGACAGAGAGACAGTCACCCCCAGTGGGGTGCTGATGCCACAATCTACCCCTAGCTCTTAGCCAGCCTCAAATCTTGGGAACGCATGTGCCCAGGGTACCCAGAGAGGCCTCTGGACTTAAAGCAAGAATCTTACCATGTAGATCAGCCCTGTAGAGCATTATGTTGTACCATAGTGCCAAAGATAATTCTTTACTTTTTTTCAATTTTTTTTCAGTTTATTTATTACTTTTACGAATGAGAGAGAGAGACAGAGAGACAGTCACCCCCAGTGGGGTGCTGATGCCACAATCTACCCCTAGCTCTTAGCCAGCCTCAAATCTTGGGAATGCATGTGCCCAGGGTACCCAGAGAGGCCTCTGGACTTGAAGCAAGAATCTTACCATGTAGATCAGCCCTGTAGAGCATTATGTTGTACCATAGTGCCAAAGATAATTCTTTACCATGTTTTCCCTTTCTTTAATCATGATTTCTTCACTAAGAGTTACATAGTATAAATATAAAACTGCCTCAATTAAGACATTTCTCATGTATTATTTGAATTATTTCAGTGACTTTCTATTCTCATTTCTCCAGCTTCCTTTCAGTTTCTCTTCTTTTTTTCAAATACCAGAGGGCAAGTTCTCACCAGAGGGACACAGAGAGGGAGCACCCCTCCATGGAGGTGTGGTCACACTGGAATCCTTTCTTCTCCTCCATTTCTCCATCCTGTCAGGATATGAGCATCCGTGCATACATGCCCACTGTATTTTTCAAACCATGAGGGCTAGAGTTTGAACTGCCTTGGCCATGTGGGATCCAGCTGCCTTAACTACTAGGCCAAATGGTTGGCCCCTCTACTTGTACCTCATTCTATCTGCAGCCATACCATGTTCTCCAGTCGGTCCTTCTGCCTTATTCTGTCTACCAGTCCATCTTTGTGATGCAACAAGAGTGATGTTTTTAAAATTCATATCTGGTCATCCATTAAAGGAGTTTAATAATCATTTGTTAATAATCATTTAAACTCCTTCAAAGGTGGCTTATCAAACTTAGAATTAAGCCCACACTCCTTTGTATGATAAACAAAGCACTTCCTCCATAAGCCTCACTTCCTATTGTACATTTTTTTTTTTACCACTAACAAGTATTTATTGAGAGCTTCCTATGTGCTAGGGACTAGTATAGCTGTTGAGGTTAACACTAGTGAACAAGATGGAAGTCTCTGCTCTTAAGGAGCTTGCATTCTAGTTAGAGAGAGGAGGGGTGTTGAGCAGTGAATGAACAAATAAGCGAATATGCCTGGTAGTAATAAGTGCTGGGAAGAAAAATAAAGCCAAGTGGTACATAGACTAGATATAGGGAGGATACCTATGTTCATCTAGAGTGGTTGGGGCACATCTCTGACAAAATGACATTTGAAGAGAGGCATGAGATGAGAGAGGGAACCATATGGAAAT